TGTGTGTGTGTGACATATTTTATTTATACTATTCATCTAACTAGCTTTAGAGTACGTGCGTTGAACGTGTTAATAAACTAAAAGTTACATAAAAAAGAATAAATTATGTAAAATAAAAATGGGCATTAAAATTGATGCAATATTCATTTAAATGACAACAATAATATTTTTATATTGACTAGTTTATTGGATTTAAAATAATTAAATGTCTTTTAAACTTGCAACAATGAAAAATTTAATTAAGTTAATTATATTAATAATTATAGCTATTTTCTTTATGAGAATGTTGTGTTGATNGTTGGAAAACTAATTCAAAGTTGTAGTAGGAAACCTTAATTGTTTAAGATTTGATATTTGCTAGTTTATTTAATTCATGTGTAAATAAGATTTGTAGTCAGAATTAATATATATAGGAATAGGCTTTCCTATTTCTCGTTAAAATAGGTTTCGTATTATTATAAATAAAGATATTGATAGCTTATTTTATATTTGGAGATATGCGGAGATTTGAGAGAATTGTAAAGAGCTTACAGATATATATAATAAAATACTTTTTCTTCAAATATAGTTTTCGACTGAGTTGATCACTTAGTTTAAAAAAAATCGAATTGTGATGATCGACTGACACCACTTATACGAAATTTTGTATTCATCACGGACTAATATTGGACTTTAAAAAGAATCCAAGCTTAATACGACATTACAAGCTTGTAAAAATGAATGAAAGTACATAAAGCGCAGCTTAGATCTTGCCCTACATGAGATAAACGAATGATTAGGAACTTAATATAGATTAATATTATCACGCTAGATGGATTCATGCACCTCAATTTAGGTACTGAAATTCTTATTTGCTTTCTTTGCAGCTAGCCTAGCTTGTCCAGATACACGATATATTGAATTTTATTTATTAATTAGTTGCGAGCTTAAAATCTTTCTCATGGCCTATTACAAGCTGTGGACTTGTAATAACTTTTGCCTAGTTGTAGTTAGACATCATTCAGTTCATGAAACCACTTTATCCTTAGGAATGCAATCTCACATGACACAAGTATTATGTATTTGAGGAGTTAAAATATCTGTTTCTCTTTTTCATTTTAAAGAGAATTTCCAAATGTTTGATAATTTTAAAATTTAAGCATACAGTCAAACCTTTCTATAATAACCTCGTTTGTTCCAATAATTTTTGGCTGCTATAGTGAAGTATCGTTATAGAAAATATATATTACAACATAACATAAAAATCGATTCCAAAAATAACTTAACTTTTATAGTGAATTGTTGTTATATAGAGATACTGTTATAGAGAAGATTGACTGTAATACTTTTGGCAATGTAATAAGTTCCAACCAACATCTCAAATAGCAATCCATAATCCATTCCTATATATATAATGATACATACACGCAAGAAGAATCTTTTGAGTAATTACTCTAATGGCTAAATTATTAACTTTTGAGCGTATATTGATTATTTCACATAATATTTGGCTAGTTTTGGATTGTTCGGCACCACGTTGGGTCCTTCGAGTGAGTTTGTGGTCGGAAAATAAACTTTGGGACGAGGTAAGTCTCTTGCCTAACCTTGTAAGAGCGAATTTACCCCACAGGTGATTTAAATTGCTATTTGATGTTAATTGTGGTGGCTACGTACGCACGAGGTGACGGGAGTCCGTGCGTAGCTACTAATTATGCTTAAGTCCGGGTAGTTTAGGACCCATATCATAAAATACTTATGATGTTTGCACCCTACTTGTTAATTAAAGTGTTTAAATTATATTGAAACTTGTTAAAGGATTTGTAAAGACCGAATTTCACTCGCTTGAATTTTGGCGGTCACTTGACCGTTAATAGAGATTGTACTTCTTTGTGTATTAGCTTTATAATAGCTTTTAAAAATCGGATGTTCATAAAGTAATCTCTCTTCTTGTGGAGCGGGCCGAACACCTCGGCAGTATAATAGCCTATGGTTCGCACCGCTCGACCCTCGACAGTGTATACATTATTCTGGATCGGGCCGTACGACTTCGGCATAAATCGTGCGTGTTAACGTTTGAAGCCCAAATACACATGATATTATTTTGATGAATAGAAAGGTTATAATTTATTTATTTATTCAGAATTTATTTGGAATTAATATGATGTTAGTGAAATACTTTTGGAATTTACTGTTAGTTAAAGAATCATCTAATTACTGCTGTCATTGTGTTAATATTATTATTCACATACTCTATGCCTGTTTAGCATTTTTATATTTTATTATTAGTCCATAGTAAGTGTCGACGTCTCCCCCTCGTCACTATTTTTTCGAGGTTAAACTAGATACTTACTGGGTACATGTTGTTTATGTACTCATGCTACACTTCTGCATTAATCGTGAAGGATCTGAGACAGGTGCATCTGGCAGTCATACCGGCCACCCGATACCCCGAGGCTTAGTAGTGAGCTGCTTTTCGAATCCGTTCTGCAACAACCTGAGTCTCTCTTTTGCATTATTTTCTGTCTACTCTATTTCAGAGAGTAGTTTAGTGTTTTGTATATTCTACTAATAGCTCATACACTTGTGACACCAGGTCTTGGGATTACGTTAGTAGACATTTGACGGCTTTTGAGTAATTATTTCACCACACTTGTTCTTATATTAGTTTACACTTTATTTTATTAAATTTTTCACCTCTTACTTACTTAATAAATAAAAAAAATCAACTATTTTGAAATTATTAAAAAGAATAAATACATGACTAGTTTACCGTTGGCTTGCCTAGCGGTGACGTGAAATAAACATACACGCAAGAAGAATCTTTACATTAGGAGTGAAATTAGTATAATACTTTGATGAATGGTGTTCACGCCCCTTAGTACACTTTAATTTTGAAAATTGTATTTAGTTGACTTGTATTTTAATATATCACACCATAGGACTCAATACTACAAATTACAAAATAAGTTTCGGAAAAATAGAAGTCGCGAATCCGTTAATAAGATATACAAGTATTCAAATTGCCACTCAGTGACGTGGTAGGATGGATATGAACTTTACACTTAATAAGAGGACTCATGTTGGAACATTTGGAGTAGAGAAATTCCTAATAGAAAATGCATTCGCTCTTTAATGAGCCTATGCGGTGCATATTAGCCGAACCCATTACTTTCGGGACTTAGCATAAAATTATGTGCAAAATTTTATTAAAATTGTAAGTAACAAAATAATAAATATGAACCCATAACTTTAAAAATATAATGAGTTAAATATTAAAATTTTTAAAGATTGAATACACAACTTAAATTCTAAATCTGTCTCTGCTATTGCTATTGGGTACCAAATATTGAATGTACTTACAAAAATTGCCGAACTAGAAACATTGTGTATTAGCGTGCGTGTACATGCACGAGAGGACATTCGGGCAATGTTTGGAGTTCAGAGATTATTTGGTACACAGAATATATTATGAGTTCAGTATTGTATGGAACCTCTTGTTTCATTGCACCTTGACCCACTATCGAAATTACATGTTACCTTTGCCTGGCTTACAAGTTGTATGAGTTGCAGAGCTAAGATCCCCCGCTTTCAGTTCTACAGCCTCCCCGCCCTAACAAATACGTGTAAATTCAGAATCGGATCTAGAATTTTGTGAAGATGATTGTATAATTACGAAAATGCTGATTCATGATACTAATATTACAGGGTCAACTTTTAGTTGTTATTACTGCACCCATTATACTTTTGAAATTACTAATATCTATGAATGTGCGTTGCACGTTAATAATGACGTGATGATTTAAACATCTATTTATATGATGGAACAACAAAATTTAATTAATGAGAGAAATTTTATGTATAATAATACAACAATCATCTAAATACCGAAAAATATTACTTTCTCCGTTTCAATTTATGTGAACCAATTTGACTGGACACTGAGTTTAAGAAAAGAGAGAAGACTTAGAACTTGTGGTGTTAAAATAAAATACATATATTTTGTGTGGCTATAAATCATTGCATAAAAGTAAATTATTTCTAAATAAGGAAATTGGTCATTCTTTTTTGGCACATACTAAAAAGGAAATAGGTTCACATAAATTGAAACGAAGAGAGTGTTATATTAGCATAATACATGAATTTAAAATAAAAGGACATCATCAAAACTTACACAAATGATCAATTTTGTCATTTAGTTAGATAATTATATATTATAGTTTAAAAGTATTTAATGTGATGGTATCTTAACGAACACTTCTTTGTGGACAATATTTTTTTGTCTATGTTTCCTCCTAATACGTTGGTTGCTCTGCCTTAACCGGACCTCTTGTTGTCGATCTCGATATCCGTCTTGAAAGTGCAACATACAATTGTTCGTGCAAGAAAACTTATTTTGGTAAATATAGTCCAATATTTAGGATGT